CTGAGGCTGCTGTCCCCCATGAACAAGAACCTGAGCCTCCAGGGCCACCTCAGCACACGCCTTCCCAAACAAGGGCGTCCTCGAACCTGGAGATGCCATCAAGGAAGAATCCGCCTGAGGGCTAGGAGGGCTCACGGCCTGTGTTGCTAGGAGCCCTGGGGCGGCCATGCTGCTTCCCTCAGAGCCAAGCCCCTGGGGGTCCCCCAGACCAGGACAGTGAGGCCCATTAGGGTCCTACAGTTGAGCACCACTAATCCAAAACTCCCAAATTCCAAATGCAACCTGAAATTTAACTGCCAATGGGATAATTGCCACAAGCGGAAAATTCCTGACTTCATCCAACAGGTCATGGCTCACACTACAAATAACGCCTAAGATGACCCCTAAAGGTATCGCGCACACACCCAACGTAAGTGAATGGTGTGTTCAGACTCGAGTCCCATCCCCAAGATATCACATTACGGCCATGCAAATATTCCAAAATGCAAGCCCTTGAGATGAGGAATATTCAAGGCGCACTTGTCGAGTGAGAGAGAGTAACTGACATTCGCGTCCTCTGTGTGTGCCAACACGGTTCTAAGAAATGCCACCTGCAGCTCCCCCTTACAAAGACCGGGGAGGCAGGGTTCACGACTATAGGATCCGGGGATCTGGGCACAAGGCCAGCACACCCCAGAGCCAAAGCTCAGCCTCCCCAGGCCAGACCCTGCATCCCAATGGGGAGCTGTGCCCCACCCAGGCCGCCTCTCTGAAAACAGAGGCAAGTTCTTCAACTTTGGCTGCTGCACTCCCAAGTTAGCTGAGTGGAGGACTGCAGCAGGGTCACCCTGCAGCCTGTGACCAGGACTTCGCCCTCTGACTCTTCAGCGTTGCTTCCGAGGTGCCAGGACAGCCCTTAGCTGCTACAATGCAAACAGAGGCCCCCAAATAAAAGGGATGCAGTTTGGTGAAGGAGAAGGTCGTAGCGGGATTTCCAGGAGCCCCCTGCCCTTGCCTTCGTCGGGGTCCTGGGACGCGGTCCGCGCGGCGCGCTGCGAGGCTGCCACCTAGTGGTGACGGGGGAAACTGCTGCGGAAGCCCGAGTGCCTAAACCCCAAAACCGCAGGCAGGGGAGGCGGCATCCTGTTCACACCAGTCGGGGCGGTGGCTGTTTTTAGCTGGGTCTCCTTCTGTGCCACTTTCATCATGGAAACTGGCTCTCCAGACCCAAAAAAAGCTGCGACGTGCTCTGCAAAAGCTGTTTGAGGGCCAATTTTAGCTGCATTCCTTGGAATTTGGGCTCCCAGGAGGAAGGAGGGATGTGCGTTCCCAGGAAGTTGGGCATCTTCCTGCAGGCTGTTCTGGCCAGGAAGGGGGAGGATGGTCCCTCCCTTTGGGGTTCAGCCTCTGCACAGCACCCTGCAGAGGAATGGGACTGGGGGTTTAGAGCTACTGTGGCCTGGGCGATTCATCACGTACCATCACGAGCTCCCTTTACCTGGGTCCTCACATTGACCCTTCTGAATAACTACAGGAAAGCTTAGGGTTATTCTCATTTTGCAGATGAGGAAATCCAGACTTTGAGAAGTTTGGGTTTTGGTACCAGAGATTGAGCCCCAGGGTGCTTAACCACTAAGCCACATCTACAGCCCTTTTTCATTTTTTTTTTTTTGAAACGGAGTCTTGATGAGTTGCTTAGGGCCTCACTGAATTACTGAGGCTGGCCTTGAATTTTGGATCCTCCTGCCTCAGGCTCTCAAGCCACTGGGATTACAGGCCTGTGCCACAGCACCCAGCAAAACTTGGTTCATGTGACTTGGCCAGCATCATAGAGCTGGTAACTAACAGAGCCAGGACTTCAACTCTGGAGTCTCTGCTCTGAACCCAGGACCCAAAGCAGCACCAAGAGCTGTAATGCATGCTCTGCTGCCATCTCTCTGTGACCTTGAGCAAGTCTCTCAACCTCTCTGGATCTCAGTTTCATCTGTGACAAAATAGGTATGTGAACCAGAGATTCTGCTTGGCAAGGCTGCATCGGGATCTCCGAGGACCCAGTGGTCACATTCCCAGATTCCCATCTAGACCCCCAGATAATGGGCAGTAAAGACTCCAGGACCCCTCCCCACACACACACAAACCTACACACGAGCCTGACAGGTTCTTGTCCCCCAAACAATGAGCTCTAGTGATATCTGATCAGCACCATTCCTGGCCCAAGACTAAACTCCTAACAGGCAAACTGCATCGAATGAGGAGAGAACCACATATCCTGGGCCAGGCTTTGGGAGTATAAAATGAACAAGACAGAGCTCAGGGCGGTGCGGCAGAGATGGACAAGTGGCCGCGCAGAGCCCAATGCAACTGTGACAGGGTGGGGGGGCAGGAAGGAGGAAACTGGGATCACAGAAGGACCCCAACCCAGCTTAAGGGGATGCATCGGGGAGGACTTCACAGAAGACCTGGGTCAAGTGCTGCCCCAAAGTGGCATGATCAGACGGGAGGGGAAGCACAGAGGGCCCCTGGAAGGTTGTGCAAAGCCCGGTGGCCTGGGCGTCACCCAGTGCCACAGACAGAGCCTTGCCAGGTTGCAGTCTCCAAACGCCCAGAAACCTCCAAGATCCCCGTCCTCTCTCCCCGTGCCACCCAGCCACCACCCACCTGGCAAAGGGAGGTTAGCCTTGTCCTTACCCCCAAGGTCCAACACCATTCCTTAAGAGTTTGGATGGGTCAGTGGAAGGGTCCCTGCTGCCCCCAGGCCAAGCCTTAAGATGCCAAGTGACTTGGGTGACACCTAACTACGCTGGCAGACTCTCCTGCCCGTGTTCCCCTGCTGGGACCTGTGGGTACAGTGGGACAGTAAAGTCTGTGACCTGGTGGTTCCGGTGGCTCAGTGTTGTCCTCCAGGGAATATCTGGCGATGTCTGAAGGCTCTTTGGGGTGTCACAACAGGAGGGGTGGGGTTGCCTCTGGCACCTCGTGGATGGGGACCTGGTGCTGCGCAGCATCCTACAATGCACAGGACAGTCCCCCCACCCCACCCCCGAGAATTGCCTGGCCCTGAGCAACAGTAGTGCCAAGGTTGGAAAGCCCCGTTGTGAGCTGGTCAGCTGTCCCTGGAGGGCAGGAAGAGAGGTCACTGGGCAGCCGTTGAGCTATTCAGAGCCCTCTTGGGCAGAGGCTGGAGGAAATAGGGAGGGGGAAGCATTCTGGCTTCATTTCTACTTTTGGGGGGGTGCAGTAGTAGGTATTGAAGCCAGGGTCACTATAGCACGGGCTGTATCCCCAATCCTTTTATTTTTTATTTTGAGATAGGGTCTCACTAAGTCGCTACAGTTGGTCTCAAATGTGGCATCCTCCTGCCTCAGCCTCCCGAGTGGCCAGATTATGACTATTTCTACTCTGTTGCCTTTGTCTTTCACGGGGTCTTTCAATACTTACCCCATCACTGGCCTCCGACCCCTGAGAGGGGAAGATCAGTGGCATCTCGGCCCTTCCCTATTCTCCACTCCACCCCACACTGATTGAGCACCTAGTGTGTACTAGATGCTATGCACACAGTAGGAAGTCAGTCAGTCTCTGCCCTCAGGACTATTAATTCTCCTGGAGAAGGAAGTGTTATGGGTTAGATATGAGGTGTCCCCCAAAACCTCCTGTGTAAATTCAGGAGGTGAAACGACAAGATCATGAGGAGCTTTACCCAATCAGTGAATCAATCCATTTAATGGATTAATCCATTGGATGGGTTAATCCATCTGATGGCTTAATGATTTAAGGACTGTGGTACCGGTGGTAACTGCAAGTAGGTGGGGCTTGGCTGGAGAAGACAGGTCACTGGGCATGCCCTCGGGGATTATGGCTTGTCCCTGGCTCCTCCTTTCTGCTTCCAGGCTGCTGTGAGCTGTCCTGTCACGCCCCCCACCATCCTGTTCTGCAGTCACCCTGGGCCCAGAGCAACGAGGTCTGCCCACCATGGACCAAGCCTCTGAACCGAGAGCCAAAGTAAACTTTTCTTCTTCCAAGTTGTTCTCGTTGGATAGTTTGGTGACAAAATAAATAAGACTAGCTCAGCAAGGTCTGGCCCCCTATGTGGCTGGAAACAGGTGGCAAACGCCTCAGCTTGCTGCCAGAGAATGGCGCCCCCTGGAGGACAGCTCCAGAGAAGCAGGAGGGTGTGGCTGGACAGGGTTGGCCAACATGGCAGCCATGAACGCTAGAGCTGGGAAAGAGAAGGTCCCCGGGGGAGGTGGATGGAGCCTTAGCTGTGCCAAAAAGGGACTGGGAGAGCCAGGCTTAGAAAGAGCCATGGACACATCATGGAATCGATGGACAGATGACCAGGAGAGAGAATCGGCAGCAAGAGCGCCAGATGCCGACCACGGTGCCAGGCGTTGGAGCTGCTCGTGAGCACGTGGGGTTCACTCGGGGATCACTGAACCTGTGCTCATCTTGCTGCCTCACCAACCCTGCAAAGTGCTTGATATTACCAACTGCGAATGCAGACGAGGAGGGTGAGGCTCTGCTGCCAAGTGATTTACTCCAAGTTGCCCTACCAGAGGCGGCAAAGCAGGAACTGACCCCATGGAATCTGGTTCCAGAAACCGGATGCTTAAAAACTCCCCCGTTAGGCTGAGAAGAAATGTGTTCACAAACTCAAGGAAGAACGGGCAGGGAACTGGCAGAGGCAGGAAGCTTCTTGGAAGGAAAAACACCAAATGCCAGGCTGGGCACCTTGACCCTTGCCACCTTAGGACCGGGAAGGCCTGTTGGCTTCCTCTTGGGGTCAGCCCCAATTAATAGTTAGCTGCAGGGAGAAGCACTGTGGAGGAGGAGTGGAGGCTTACTGAAATTGGTTAGTGATGTCTGCCCTGAGTGCAGTCGGGGAGAATAGGTGCATGCTGAGCCTAGACTCCATCCCTGCTGCAAGCCACAGGGAACCGTCATGAGTCTGAGTTGCTTTCTGCTGCTGTAACAGAATACCACAAAGTGAGTCATTTATAAACATTACAAGTTTATTTGGTCCAGGAGCGTGACACTGGTGTCTGGCAAGAGCCTCTGTGCTGCATCATCCCATGGTGGAAGGCAGCAATGACCACAGAGGAAAAAATGGGGCTGGACTCTTCTTTTGATCAGATCCCATTCCCATGATAAGGGACCCTCCGTGAGAACAGCTTTAATGGATTAGAGGTCCTGGTCACCTCTTAAGGGTCACACCTCTTACTGCTACTGCAAAAAAAAAAAAAAAAATCAGCATGAGTTTGGAGCAGACACCAAACTATAGCAGGGCACCCCACTAGGGCAGCTCAGGCTACCGCGTGCAGGGTGGAGACCAGAGGGAGGCTGGGTTCTGCAGGAGGCTGCACTTTCTTCAAAGTACAGAACCTGCAAGAGGCAGCCAGCCCAGCCAGACCCGTTCAGTCTTCACAGTTACCTCCATCCCTGGGAGGCAGTTTCAACTCTAATGACCTCGTTCTAGGGTTTCCAAGAGCTCAATCAAGCCTTTTTCTCCCCAAATATTCCTCATTATAACTTTCTTCTCTCATAACCTGGATTCAGTAGAACATTTGGGGGAGGCGGGGAGGGGAGACGAGCTCAGGAATAACTAGAATAAGCAGGAATGATTTAGTAACCACCTATGTGCGTCTAGATTCCTACCCACGGGTTTGCAGCGGGGAGACGTCTTCTCTGAGGACAGCTTTTCTGGGGAGGTGGAAGGGAGCAGAGCCACCATCTAGAGTCACTACCCGGCACGCTGGCCCAAGGACGCCTCTGCTGGCCAGAGGAAAACCCCGGGGGGCCCAGTCGACCGCGAGGCGTGAGCACAGGCCCGAGTGTGGAAAGATCCTGACACCGTGCTTCAGCACGTGGTTCCCCGCCGCACACTGGGCCCTTCCCACGCCACCTGCTGTGGATCCACCAAATGTTTTCAGAAGCCCCCACTTTTTCCCTCATTCCACTTCTGATTACTTCTAGTAATTTCTATTCCCAACCATGGAAGGGGGCACAGGCCCCAGAGCAGACCTGGCCAATCACACCGAGTGCTTGCAACGGGGCTGGTCCTCCTCTGGGTCCTTCAGTCGGGGCTGTCACATGGGATCATGTGTTGTCAGGAGTGATGGCAGCCTTCTCCCCACCATGGGGATGAGGTAGAAAATGGGTCCAGGCAGGGAGAGCCGACGCCCCAGTCCCAAGATCAGTGGTTCCCGCAGCTCCTCTTACTGCCCGAGCCCTCTGGAGCACCTCCGGACTGGACACTCTCCCCTGCACTCAGTGCTCCCCGACGGCGGACACCCTGTCCTGATGTGACCCTTCTGCTTGCAGGCGCTTTGTCAGAAATCTGAGAAGGAATCAAATGTGCCTACAGGCCTTGCACGTGAGTCCCAGATACATCACACACACACACGCACGCACGCACGCACACACACACACACACGCACACTCCTCTTGACTTAGACAAGCACCTGAGTTCATTCTCATGTTGCTCACTGTGGACTGGATTCAGGCAAGGCTGGATCTAGGGGACATTGAGAGTGAGAGGAATCACCAGGACACCGTCTCCCCTCAGCTCCGATCCCTGGCTGTGTCACAGGCAGGCTCTTCCCACACAGAAGACGGGACCCTGGCAGCCGAAGGCTCACCTATGGCCTTTACAGCTCATGACACCAAGTCACAGCAGGTGGGCTCTTCCCTGATGGGAAGGGTCCCGGCTGTCCAGGGTGGTAACAGGCTCTCTGAACCCATCGCTGTGGCCTGAGGAGTTGGGAGCCCTGCAGCCAGGCCTGGGTGACGTGGCCAGTCCTGGGCGATGTGCCCACCTCTTAATAGGAGGAAAAGAAGGCTGGGAGGAGGGGACAGAAGAGGCGGAGTGGGAGCTGGCTGGGGAGAGGGGAGCTGGTCGGCCGTCTGCTACTCCCCCACCTCAAGGTCTCCCTTGGGTGTGGCTCCAGCCCCCCCGCACAGCTCAGGTGCCTGGACCCTAACCCAGGCCAGAGACGAGTCAGGGCCCTCCTCCCCTCCAGCTCGCACACCCAGCCCGACTCACTTTTCCTTTGGAAGTCCCCCTCCCTGCCGCCCTAGAGTCACAACTGACACACATGTGCCCAGAGCACGTACACAGAGACAGACACGCAAGGACATGTGTTTATACACATGCATATGCACAGGGGCCCAGGTCACATACGTGTACACAGATACACCAACATGCACAGACCTGTGCATGCAGACACATCCATGAACACAGGAGACCCACCTGCTGTACACACGTGCAGAGGCACACGCACAGACACGCACCCACCTGTGCAGACACGCAGTCCCATGCACTCAGACGCACACAGAACATGGGGACACACATGCACATCACCCGTGCTCACCCACGAGCTGCCGAGGACAAAGCCCCCAGCCTGTCACCTGGAATGTGGACCTGCCCACCCACGCACCTGCCGGCCGTCCACCTGCACTTCAGAGCCCCAACTTAGAACAGCCAACTCGGCTGCCCACCGCCGCGTGCCACTGGCTTCTCCGTCTCCATGGAGACCCCGCCACCCCAGCACTTGCCATTCAAACACTTGTGTGGCGTCAAGAATGTCAAATGACGGCGGTGTTTTCCAGAAAGGTGACCCCGATTCTGAACGCACCTGGAAGAACTTCCCGAGCACAGGATTCAGAGTGGCTCCGCGGTCTCGCGAGTCACGGGGGAGGGGGCACTGCTGTCAGCCTGGTCCTCAGACCCCTGCTTCTAATTGCCTCAGCCAGTCCTGCCTGTGCAAGGAAGGGTCCCCAAAGGCAGCGATCACCTTGCCGTCTCCATAGTGAGCGCCAACCTTGCGTCCCTGCCTGTAAGACATAACGCTCTGCTTTCTGCATGTTCCTGCTCAGCCTGAGCATTTCATGCTTTTTGAAAACATGGGAGGCTCTGACATTCAGAGAAGTTAAGTACCCATCCAAAAGTCACACAGCAGAGCTAGGATTCGGCCAAGTCTGGCCCCAAGGCCCTGGACTTCCAACTGCAAATGCCCCCACTGCATAACTGCCCCTTCCTGTGACTGAGTAGCTGAGATCTCAGATCTCAGGCAGGAACCTTAACTCTCCATGTCCTTGAGATGCCCCACCAGAAATCCTACCCTCTCCTCTTCCAAACTGCTCACACGTTTTGTTCTGTATTCTCTCCCAGGGTTTTCACAACAAATCACCACAAACGGGGCCCCTCAACACCAGGAGGTTACTCTCACGGTTCTGGAGGACAGAAGTCCGAGATCCAGACACGGGCAGGGCGGGATCCTCCCAGGGGCTTCGAGGAGGGGTCTGCCCCCACCTCTCTCCTGGCTCCTGGAGGATTTCTGGCAATCTTCCGTCTCCCTGGACCTGTGGATGCATCACCCAGCCCTGGCCTTCACCTGATGCCCTCCCCTGTATCCAAACTCCACCTCTGTAAGGTCAGCAGTCAGGCGGGATGAGGGCCGGACCTGCCTCCCTGTGACCTCAGCTCAGCCACAATCCAGGGACAGAGGGCGAGGATCTCCCTTGTCAACGGGGAGGGGGCAATTCAACCACAACCCTCTGAGCCACGAGCCCACCTCCACACAGGCCGCCCGTCCCCTCCCATCCTCCCCTCCAGCCTCCCAGGGGGCGGAGCAGATCTCCCCCTCTTCTGCAGCAGGGCACCGTGGGAAGCAGAGACTCTGGTCACCTGGCCTGCACCCACCTGGGCTTAACCCTCTCTGCGCCTCAGTTTCCCCAGCTGAGACCCATGAGTAACGAGAGTGCCTATGCAAGAGGTCATTTCAAGGTTTCAATGAGTGACAAAATTCAGGAATTAGAGTAGTGCTTAACGTGTAGTGAGCATTGCGTGTGTCATCAGATTTAATAAGATGGTTTTGTGCATGCTCCCCCAGCTCCGGGCTGGGGCTGTATCTCTTTAAGAGCCTTGCCGCTGTGTCCCTTATTTCTGGCTCCTAAAAGCCTCGCCCAGGGTCACACATGGGGCAAGCCTCTGTGCAGAGGGACAACTTTGCCTGTTACCGTCTGCCAGATATGGCCCCTCCCACTCCCGAGGCTGCACCGTGCTCCCCTTGGAGCAGCAACTCCTCTCTACCTGGGGTCAGGCACAGGTGTGATAAATCTCCACTTCTTGACTGAATCAACAAAGGGCCTGGGGACTCAGATTAACAGGCCAGACGGCACCCGTCTGCCCACGCTCGCTCACAGAACGCTCCCGGAGGACGACTGGGCTGTGAGGCCCCTCGCAGACAGCGTGCAAGGCCGGGAACCTGCAAGCCCCCACTAAACCAGACTCCAGGGACGCATGCGTGTTCTCCAACACAGGGTCAGGGGGACAGCGTGGACTAGGTCAGGAGACCTGGGTCATCCCAAGGTGACACCCAAAGTCCTGTGACCTTGGGGGGTGAATTATTCCCCTAACAAAGCACATAAAATGGGTGCCTGGAAACAGACATTTTTCCAAGGGCCCAAGCCCTCGGGGAGGGCTCCCTTGGGAGGCTCTGGGGGAGAGTCTGCTCGCACCCTCTCTCCCAGCTGTTCCTGACCAAGAAGCCTGGCTGTCCCTGCCTGGTGGCCACCTACCTCCAGTCTCTCTCTCCCCACACTGCCTTCTGTGTAGTGCGATTCCAGTTCCTCTCCTTTCTCTTAGATTAGTGCCTTCCTAATCCCACGTGACTCCATCTCAACTTGATCACCGTCTGCCAAGACCCTATTTCCACACAAGATCATATTCACAGCTAGAGGGGTTGGGACTTGAACATAGTTGTTTGGGGAACACAAAGCAACCCTCTACAGCAGGTCACCTCGGCTGTGACCCTGCATTCCGGAGGGAGCAATGGCACCACCTTGCTAAAGAGATTTTAATGAGATAGTCCTTTTGAAGACCTCGGACCAGCAGAGCTCAAAGGTGCTGTGCTGCTCTGTCACCGTCCCTGGCTGTGACCTAGGTCCCAGGGCTCCTGGCAGCTGGCCAAGGCCGCCTTGGAGCCAGAGTTGGAGCGCACTTTCTGGGGAGAACTCTCGGGAAGGGGAGAAAGTCCTGTGAGCCCCTAAACCAGGGCCCTCTGGGTTTGGCTTTCAATGCCGTAGAATGGCCAGAGGCAGGCTGATGGGCAGGCCGGACCAGCTGGTCCCCAGGAAGCCCCTTGGCCGTGAGGGAGGAGCGCGCTCTGGCTCTCCAACACACCCCCCTTCCGCTGCCCACGTTCTGCCAGCGATTCTCAGCCAAGGTTCTGAGCTGCGAGCAACGGGGAGGTGTAGAACCGAGTAATCTGCTGCTAATAATACAGTGCCGAGCGCTGCAAACGTGCGTACGAGCAGCTCAAGGTTACCCCGCGAAACGCGGCTTTCACTCCCCGCATCCTGATGAGGCCTCTCGGCGGGAGGAGAGCAGGGAAGGACAGCTAGGGCAGGCCTGGGGGCGCTGCGGGTGACGCGAGGGGAAGGGGGGCCCCTCTGCACCCAGTGGGCCACCTACAGCAGGAGCACCTCGCGCCCGCGTGGGCCAGGCACCTGGCGCCTGGGGGCGGGCCTGGGCAAGGGGAGGGAGGGCGGATGGCCAATGGGGACCAGGGGAGGCGAGGAATGCAAATGAGAAGGCGGAGACACCGTCATTCAGCTGTCCAATCAGCAACGCAGTTGAGTCGGAGCCTCGCAGGATAGGCCAGGTGCGAAGGCGAGAGGCGTTCCCTCGCGGTTGAGGGACAGTGATGGACTTGTGCTGGAAGCCCCCCTCTGACCCCAACCCCTCCTATGCTCGCACTCTCTCCAGTGGCACGAGTCTTTCCCCGCGTCGTTAAGAGTGTGTCCTGCTCAGGTTAGAAATCTCGCTTCCGAGCTTCCGAGCAGTGCAACTCTGGCAATTTCTAGAACTTTCCTGCACCCGTTTCCTCATCTGTAAAACGGGATGGCAATATAACATTAGCCCTCAAGTACCACACGGGAATTGGTTACCATAATGCACACACAGTGCTGAGCACCACGTGGGAACTAGGTGGGTACAAACAGGACAGCCCCCAATACCGCTGTTACTATTATTGGCATCACTGTTAGTTCACATGTGGTGACAGGGTCTCTTTGTTCTACATGACATCAGCCAGCGTGCCAGGATGTAGAATTTCTACACAGGACAGTTTATTCTGCTATAGATAGAGATGTGGGACATTTTCCCTCTGTTATTTATGTGGAGTGGCAAGTGTCACTGTTGGTTACATAGACAGCAATCGGGCACTTACTCTGTTATTTTTAAGCAAGAGTTTCTGGATGTTATGTGTGTGGTTGGGAGATGTGTGTATTTACTCACAATCCCTGCAGATCTGGCGTGTTTGGGTTTACATACACTTGGCCCGTGTTCCCCGGCATTTACAGTAATGCAGACTCCAAAGCTATTGGAAAAGACTTAAGATACAAGCAGAGTCATCACTGTCCCAGTCTGCCTGGGGCTTGGGAGTGTCCTTCACACAGGACTTTCAGCCAAGAACATCTCGGGTGAGTCAGAATTGGTTAGTTCCCTGCAGGGTAACCCAATGCCACAAGCCTAAGAACTTAGCAATGCAGACTCCGGATTCAGGGGTCTGGGTTCAAATTGTGACCCTTCCACTTACTAGTCCTGCAGCCTGGGCAAGATACTGCAGTTAACTCAGTTGTAATGTGGGGCTCGTAACAAAACCAACCCCACTGAGCTAAAGAATAGGAAGCACTTAGAACCCCGCCCCGCCCACAGGAAGCATTCCATAAACCTTCGCAGCTGTGGCTGGGGTTCTGCCACAACCACTGGTAGGTGTTTGAACCTCTTTCTAGATCTACACTCTTGCAGGGTTTCAGCATATTTATTATAAAATTAAATCACTACCCTGATTGGAAAGCCAGTCCCACTAGCAATAACCAGAAGGTGACGGCACACATAGCGCATACCTATTCACCACCCAGGAGCAGCTCATGCTCCCCAATGAGAGGCTGCCACCCTTTGGAGTCACTGCATCTACCCAGCTGCTCCACACAAGAGCAAACAGGTTCAGAAACGCAGAGGGATCTGCGGAGACGGAGTCGGGGCTGGGAGCCCTGTTCCGTGGGCTGCAGTCCAGGTCTAAACGCATCTCCTGGTGCGTCCAGGCTGTGAGGGCCAGTGGCAGACGCTCATCTGGCCCTTCCCAAAGCAGGCGACTCAGATCTCCCCTCACCTGACCTGGTCCTCAGCAGGCAGGCGAGGGTTAGGACTGGGGCTGGTGGCAGGGTCAGGCAGCGTCCTGCACTGGCTCTGCCCCATAGGGCAGGTCACTTCACTGGGCCTCAGTGACTGCCATCCACAAAGTGGGCCCGGTAAATCCTGCCTGGCAGAGTTGCCAAGGGCTCCGAGGGCATCGGGCACACACACCTGCAGCTTCCACAGCCGTCAGGCGAGGCCCCTGCTCACATCCGCCTTCCCAATGGTGTGAAAACCGTCCCATTCCCCTGGGACCCCAGGGAGACGTCATCATTCTGAAGATGACCGGGATCGAGGGGATGTTACTCTACCACTTTTACATAATTCTTCTCCCCCCCCACCCGCCCCTTCTACTTGAAACCTAGGCTCCCACTTAAAACCGCTTCAAACACCGAGCTTGAATCACAGTATGAACTTCAAATGACAGCTCCTAATGCAATTAAAGCAGCTGCTTATTATCTCCCATTATTGAATAATAATGTTCATTAATAGCTCTGCTCTTCGTTTGCCATAATAGTCCCCTGCTAAAAATAATCATAAACACCATGACCCAGGGCGATGAGGAGTTGAGCTTGACCATGGAGTGGCCAGCAGCAGTAGCAGGTGGATACTGAAGGCCACCATGTAATGGGAATGACCAAATCTGCTCATCTGGGATCCCTCACCCACAGGACACATGGAGACAGCAGGGGGAAAGGCCTGAGATCACCCTCACCCCATCCCTGCAAACCAGGCGTTACCACCATGTCTCCCCTTTCCCAGACAAAGATAGTTCAAGTCACACAGCAAGAAGAGTCAGAACCCAAGTTGCAAACCCCGCTCTGTAACAAGAAGCCCACAACTTCCAAAGGAAGGTTTTCTTTACCTCCCTTGGACATGTAGCCCTGATGGTCCAAAAAAAAAATTCCTTTTCTCCATTTGCAAATGCATGTTTCTGTGTACATTTCCTTGTCCACAAAACAGGTAATTGTGGGCCTTGCCCTCCTCCTCCCTCTCCTCTTCTCCATTCTGGGCAACCAAGGCAAGGAAGGGGCACCTCGGTAGGATTGCAAAGACCCTAATCTGTGTTCCTGTCCCTGCTTGGAGGCCCCTGGGGAGAGCCAAGTTCTCCTCCTGGGCTCCGTTGGGAGAAGAGCCACAGCCACCTCCAGGCAGCCTTCTCCCTGGAGGTCCCGGAGCTCAGGGAACACCCACTCACCTGTGAGGCTGTCTGGGCCGTCAGCCGGGTGCTGTTCTGATCCACGGGCTCTTCTCCCTCCCCTCCAGCTCTCTCCTGCTCGCTCTCTTTAGAGAGGAGCCCGAAGGGTCAAGGCAAGAATATCCCTTTACTGGAGGGAGAACGGGGTCCGCAGAGCGCATCTGCCAGGGGGGTGGCGATTCCGAGCCTCAGCTGGCCACACTGCGAGCCCAGTGGTTTGGTCAACGTGGGTCTAGATGTCGCCCCAAGGGCATTTTGTGGACGTGATAAACTCATCCACCATCAGGAGGCTGCCCTCCGCAGAGGGGGACTCATCAGACCAAGAGCAAGAGCTGAGCTTCCAAGAAAGAGAGGCCCCGCCTACAGGACCACAGCGCCCAGCCTGCCCAGCGGAGTCCAGGCTGGCAGTCCCGCGGTCATGGTCCAGTCCCTCTGCTCCTCTGCAGAGCCCCCTTGAGCCACAAGGATTAAAGATGCCGAAATGGACATCCTGTCTGCAGACAGGTGGAGGAAGTAAAGGCAGAACCTGCTCTGGAGCCCAGCACCCAGGATGGTCAGACCCTGCGCGGTCACCCTACTAACCCGTGCCCACTGCCCATAAAGCCAGGCTCCAAGCACGTGGGCGACCCCACGCCCAGGGCCACTCTGATGGGAACCGCCCACCCCGTGCGATCCACGCACCTCCCACACACCACTCACGCGGCCAGCGAGAAGACCCGTCCACCATGGAGTGCAGCGTCCCCCGTCTCCAACCCCAGGGAGAATCCTTCGCCAAGTCACCAAGGCCAGAACCAGGATGCGCTCTTCAGTTGCAGAGGATGGAAACCCAAGTGGACCTCGCTCAGGTCACGAGGGCACTTGGTCCACTCGTCCAGGAGGCCCGGGGGAGGCTGGGCTGAGCTCAGAGCACCCACAGCACGGCCCCTCCGCGGCCTTGGGTGACAGCCTTCTGGGGCTCCCCACAGCAACCCCGGGAGCTTCAGAACTGCTGGCAGATCCTTCAGAGAAGTCCTCCCCCGCAGTTCAGAGGCCTGGTTTGACGTCCTCTCGCCTGAACCAAGTTGCAGCCCGTCTTCGTCTTTTTTCTGTTCCACAGACTGAATTAATTGTCAAAGATAAAAATTTAGGGTTGGGGATGTAGCTCAGTGACAGAGCACCTGCTTGGCATGCGGTAGACCCTGGATTCGATCCTCAGCACTGCCCCCCCTCAAAAAAAATGAAATAAAAGTATGTATTCAGCTTATGACTGTAGAGACTGGGAAGTCCAAGGTCGAGGGGCCACAATTGCAGAGGGTCTTCTTGCTGCTGGGAACTCTGTACAGTTCAGAGGGCATCTCGGAAGGGCCCACAGGACTGACAGAGCCCGGGGGGGGGGCAGATCAGCGGAGCACAGGAGGGGGACTGGGGACAGCGGAGGAAGCACTGGGGTCAGAAGAAGAGCAGATGATATTCCATGCATGTGTGGTGGTGTCGAACTGAAACCCAATATCAGGTAAAACAACAATACACTAAAAAAACAATACTTCAAGAGAACCAAGTTTTATAACAGGCACACTCTCAAGGCAACCTATGAACCCCTTAGTCTATCCATCCGTGGCTGGGTTAATCCATTCATGAGGGCACCCCCAAATATTATTAACATGTGGATCTGGAGGAACATGGGATCCAGAGCACCACCCAGCAGGAGCAGGGCATGTTGAATCCCTGCTGCCCACCTACAGCTGGTGCCTCTGGACAATATCCTTGGCCCCTCTGGGCCTCCAGTTTCCCGTCTCTAAAACAGAGGTCACGATTGGAGAGCCCTGGGAGGGAGGGTGGAGGAGGGGCAGGCCTCTGTAAGACACTGATGCTGGTGACCATCTCCCGGCACCCAGGACGGAGTGGCGACTGCTGGTCAGTGCTCAGAGCCAGGGTGGGCAGGCCTGCCTGTGTGCCCCCACCTGAGCCACAAGGATTAAAGATGCGGAGGATGACCATCTGCCAGGAAATGGACATCCCGTCAGCAGACAGCCGCAAGCCGGCACCATCCGCCAGCGTGGCCTCCGTGAGGGCCACCATACCCACCGCTTCTTCTCCCATTAAGTGCAAACCCAGGCTTGAAACCGCCTCCAGTTGGGAAGATTTTTTTAAAAATCACCCTAATTACGTGCAAGAATACGATGAAGGGATCATCGTGTCCGGGGCTGCAGTTCTCATTGCATTTCTACCCAGGAAACGTGAAACCAGACGGATAAAATCCACTTTGACCCTCGTTCACTCAGATGCTGAATGGGCCCCAGAGATGGACTCTCCCTGGAGCTAATGAGGCTCAAGCTCCAGCGTCCCTCTCGGATGGGTCCCTTCCAAGACCTCTGCCCATCTGATATTTGTCATTCTGTGCTCTTAAAGGCAGCCCTAGATTGCAGAAGCCCAGGGCTTCAGAAAGCGTGGCTTGGCCTCCATGGGCCTCCATGGGCCTCCATGGGCCTCCATGGACCTCCATGGACCTCCATGGACAGCAGGAAGGGGAGGCAGTGGAGGGGAGAGATCTTACGGGGGGTCCTGTCCAGCCAAGTTTCAATTATGCAAGATGAAGGAGCCCCAGGGCCGGGTCAGGACCTCACAAGACCTGGTGTGCATTTCAGCATGTGCCAAGAGAAGATCTTGGGTCACGTTCCCATCACAAAACAATAGCAACAAGTAATCAATAGTGAGACAGGCACAGGGTGCTCTGGGCTGGGTGGGCGTGTTCTTGGCATTGGTTGTGTCACGGTTTCACGGTTCCACACTGGACTCCACGGGTTTTGGGGGTTTTTTTTGGGTATGTCAGACGTGGTGGCCCTCGCCTGTAATCCCAGTGGCTCAGGAGGCTGAGGCAGGAGGATCACAAATTCAAAGCCAGCCTCAACAAAAGCAAGGCACTCGCACCTCAGTGAGACCCTGTCTCTAAATAAAATACAAAACAGGGCTGAGATGGGGCTCAGTGGTCGAGTGCCCAAGAGTGCTGATGAAAACAATGTTCCCGTCTTCAAAGAGCAGCCCTCGAAATACCCCCAAAGGCCCACGTTAGAGGCTTGGTCATCCACATCTGGGACCACTAGGAGCTGGAGCTTTAGGAGGTGGCACCCTGTGGGAGCAAGTCAGCTCCCTGGGGTATGTTGTTGAAAAGAAGCTGTGACCCCAGCCCCTTCCTGTCTGTTTCCCAGAGGCTGCCATGAGGTGAACAGCCCCCTCTGCCACACCAAGATGAGCTGCTCCCCACAGGCCCAAAGCAACAGGAACCAAACCACCATGGACTGAAACCTCTGAGACAGTGATCCAAAATAAACCTTTCTCTTTGCATGTTAGCTGTCTCAGGTATTTTGTCACAGTAACACCAACACACCTCCCCGAGGAGACGGAGGATGAACGGGCACGCGGATCACTTTGTAGGCAAAATATTTGCTGCTTGTCCGTTTTCATTCAGTGAACAACGTGTGTTGAACACCTATCATGTGCCAGGCACTGCCAATTGTGCAATGAAAGGGGACCCTGCAGGGTTTGGGGCAAGGGAGGGTCGCCATCTCACTGATGTTATAAGGAGCCCTGCTGCCGTGAACAGCGCTGCGCGTTGGGTGGGAGCGAGGCTAGCGAGAGGCCACTGCTCCCATCTTAGGGTGGACACTCTAAGTTGACCCCTGTGGTAGGGAGCGGCCTCTGAGGAACTGCTGCCGATTCTGGCCACTACTGCAGGACCCTCGCAAGGCGGAGCTGGAGACGCGGCCAGGTGTCAAAGGCTGTCGGCACCTGATAATTCCAGCCCTGAAAAATCTATTCCCAAGCTGCACTGGCAAAAAGACCCGGAGGAGTGTGTGGGAGGGTGCACGCAGAAGCCAGGAAGCCCCGCAGGCCACGGCCAAGTTCACAGTGAGCACCTGGCCACCCGCACCCGGCCACCGGGCAGCCATGGCTCAGGCTGCAGAGAGCGGCCCCAGGGAGCGCTGCCCAGTGAAAACCCCGAGGCAGAGGAAAACGTGCGTCTTGGGCTGACATTTACCCAAGAAAGGGGGGACGTGAACACTCGGGCGTCCTGGAAAAATAAGTCAGAAACAAAACGTGACGGCTGCCCACTGCGGGCCGAGGGGACGGTCGCTGGACA